ACAAAACTCCATTTTTTTTTACTTGAAACCAGTTAAACTGAATCATGAAATACTCCCTCCAAGCCAGAAACCTGAAGGAAAAGCAATACTAAATAGAAAATGTCTAGTTCGGACTGGAAAAATTAAACGTATACCGCTTTTTCTTTGAGTTTACTTAATACTTATGTCACATGTTAACAGACAAAATAACAAGTTGCTTTAGTCGGGCTTTTTGCAATTTGTAACTAATTTGATTTTTCACTTCTTAGACATACTGGAATACATCTTGCAACTGCTGTAATAAAAAAGTCAACTGAATGGAAGTTTTATGGCAATACTTCAACTCAAAAGTACTGGAAAATAAATGAAGGAATCAAAAAATTAAAAAAAAAAAATCCACAATAGCCAAGGCCCCCTAAATCACTGGTATGAGGTCACTGACATTATTAAAAAATGAAAGTAGGATCAGGGCTCTAATCCGCCAGGCTTTTAGCCTGAATTGCTTGCCTCATACTTGTAGTCTGAATCTATTGTAACAGATTGCTTTAGACGGTTTTTTGCAATTTTATTTGTAGCTAACTCGATTTTTCACTTCCGAGACATATTGGAATAAATCCTACATTTTTGAGTGTAAGTATTGCCATACTCCTGGATGTTACTAGTGTAAAGCCACCATAGGTGCCCTTCTAAACACATTTAGTAAAACTCCCAGGCCCCATTAATGTTGGGCCTGAAACAAACGTTTTTGAAATGTTCGCTCAAGTAGGGCCATCAGCTGAACAGGACAACCGGATACAATTGTATTCGGTTTTCCCTGGATCTTATTGGCACCTACTGTTTGAAGGTAAATATTTAGCTTATCTTGCCGGTTATCAGATAGTTTTTTTAGAAAAAATTGCTCGATCAGTCATTACTGATCCGCTGACATCATAGAATGGTGCCTGGCAGGTTCAGTGTTAAAGCTAACCTTCTGATGGCCGTCTCTTTCCTCATCAAAATCAATGCGATATTTGTCCTGTAAAGCTTTCATTTCATTTCGGATCTTTTCAATTTCCGTTTGCAGTTTGCGCTTTAGTTCTGAAATTTCGGCGTTCAGACGATCGCGGTCCCGATCCTTCTCATCTAGTTCTTCTTGCAGCACTACGATGCGTCTTCCCAGGTCATCCTGAAATTTGTCCGATTATACAGTTCTAACCGATTGGCATTCAGTAACATAATATCACCATTTTCGTCTTGAAAAAACAAACCTTCTCGCCTTCGAGTCGCTCAATTTCAACCTTATATTTCGTTTCGTATATTTCGGTATCTTGCTTGAGAATGATTTTTTCACTCTCCTTATCTGCAATTGATATATCCGAAGAAACAGCATTAGTTTTCGATTATAAGAAGATCTCACAGATAACGAGAAACCCCTGTTTTCATATAGCGTAAACAAAGTTTATCAACTTTCAGAATGAAACCGTGGATATTACTAGTTCCCATCTTCTACCGAACTGGTTGTTTATTAGACTTTCCAAATCATTATCCTCATTCCCCTAACATTATCAAGATAATGATATTGCTTATGATGATGACAAGTTTAGTAAAAAAAAA